CTTGAGCAACTTGCCGCGACAAGAAAATGGACTTGAAATAGCAACTTCAAATAGCGACTTCAAATGCTGACACTGGAAACGAGGTGTCAGTGACTTCTGAACTAAACCGGGCATTCCGAATGCATCGTAGACAAGCGCGACCGTGCAAGCCATTATTCCGTCAACAGTGGCATCTATAAGGGCTGCTGCGAGTAATTTTTCAGCGAATTCAAATTACGGAAGGGCCGAGGAAAGACGAGGAAAATCATGGTCACACATGAATGATAATGGCGGGCTATCGATGTTGTCTGTTATTCTTGGCTTGGCTACTTATCACCATTGTCCTACACTCTCTAAAACCTAAACGTGGTTTCGGTAAGACGTTCTGCAGTATCGCTGTTTCGACGGGTTTGGATATTAAGCAGTATCCAATGCGAAAATCTAGTCAGACTCGGAGATTCCGACATGAAGCACTTGTGCCGCCATCTTTGAAATGTATGGCCGCATTGAAATTAGCAAATATCACTATCTGTGCAACTTACCGTCATGGTTCTGTTAGCAGGAGATATACAGGAGAATCCAGGGCCGGTGACGGATGCTTGTGATGTTTGAACTAAAAGATGCCGAAAGAATCAGATGGCGAACAATGCGATTCATGCGACAAGTGGTTTCATGCCAAGTGTATCAGTATGAAGAGAACGGAATATGATGAACTTTGCGAACCTTCTCTGGCTTGGGAATGCATAACTTGTTTATCACTTGGCTTTGATACACCGGTCCGCAAGTCACATGAAAAAATTGACACAGGAGTAAAAGAAGGAAAGCCCAGTGGAAGCATGAATAAAGATCTTCATGCAAATCTTAAGAAGAGAGGTTTGAAATTTCCTCATGTAAACATTGCAACCTTTCCGGGACACTGTGCCGACGCCGTAGTACTAATGGAGAAAGCAGCATTGGATGTGTTTGCGGTGACAGAATCGCGTCTGGATTGTACATTGCTCGATAGTAAGATATGTTCCGTCGAGTTATACTTGCTACAGAAAAGATAGAAATCGAAATGGTGGTGGTTTCGCCGTTTTTGTAAGGAGCAAATGGCCAAGCAAGCGGAGAAGTGACTTAGAATCTGACTTTTTAGAGATGGTATGCGTAGAAATATGTCCAGAAAAGGCGAAGAACACGATATTTGCTGTGATGTATAAACCACCGAGTATGAATCAAGAGAAATTTATCTTAGGCCTGGAACAATTTATCTTAGCCTGGCTAAATTGGACGACGAAATGGTAAAGGATTTCATCATTATGGGAGATTTCAACGCGGATGTTATTGCCCTGAAACCATGCAAATATACTAGAAAAATAATGCAAACGACTCGTCTCCATGGTCTGAGTCAACTCGTCAAAGAGCCCACACGCGTGACGGAATTCGCAAGGACGGCAATTGATCTAGTGTTTCTTAATAACACTCACCGTATTGTCCCGCATGGAGTCCATGAATTTTGAGCAAGGGATCATTCTGTTACTTTCGTAGTAAAGAAAGCCGGAGTTTGCAAAGCTCACGTGGAAATCCGCGACGTAAGATCTTTTAAACACTACAATAAAAACCATTTTCGGAGAGACATTGCTAGCGTTCCCTGAGGTGTTATAGAGTCTTTTCACGATATTAATGATGCTGTAGTCAACTGGAATATATCTTTTTGTTGATGTTGCAAACCAGCATGCTCGTTTAAAGAGAATTAGAACAAAACATGCGTCTAAACCTTGGATCACTAATGATCTTAAAGAACTAATAGCTGAAAGAGACTATGCATTAAGAATTACGAAGAGATATGGCAATCAGGAACAGTGGAATGAGTATCGTAGATTGAAAAACTTTACCGGAACAGAAATATAAAATCAGCGAAGGCACTACACTACAAAAATCTGATTGAGTCAGCTGTGAATCCTAAGGACATGTGGCGCTCGTTTAACTCGGTGATTGGCTCCAATAACCACTGGGGCTCTCCTTTCAAGTACATGACGGGAAACATTTAGTATCGGAGCCAAAAAGCGTAGCAAAAAGATTCAACAAGTTTTTCGCTGCCATTGGCAGCAAAGTTGCTGGTCGATTGCGCCCTAGCCTGTGAGTAAGGTCGCATGGAAGAAATATGAAACAATGAAAGAAGCAAACAAGCAGAGTGATATCAAATCCATCTTGGACTTTCAACGGGTTGAACAGAACACTGTTTAAAGCATTTTGCATTCTTTGAAAGTTAATAAGGCAGTTGGACTTCACAGAACTCCAGCAAGGCTGCTAAAAGATGCTGAGGCGGAGCTTGATCCGTCAATCACCTATCTTGTGAACAGATCAATTAGCAATGGTGTTGTCCCTGAGCTGTGGAAAGTTGCACGTGTTACTCCTTTATACAAGTCTGATGATAAACTGCAAGTAGAAAACTATCGACCTATCTCTGTATTGCCAGTATTGAGTAAAGTCGTATAAAGAGTGGTGCATTCCCAGTTGAATGCCCATCTACATCAGCTAGATTTTCTGTATCAACACCAGTATGGCTTTAGGCGCGGGCATAGCACTGAACAAGCTATCTCACAATTGAACAACTGGGTACCTCAATCTATAGACAAAGGTAAGGCAACTGGTCTACTGTTTGTCGATATTTCCAAGGTGTTTGACTCTCTGAACCACAAAGTGCTACTACGCAAGCTCGGGCATTTAGGACTGTCTGAAAGATCTTTAAGATGGTTCAGATCATATCTTGCTCCTAGACAACAAAGTGTTTTGATAAACGGACAATTATCAGAGCCACATACCATCACACCTGGCGTGCCACAAGGCACCATTTTGGGTCCCTTGCTATTTAATGTGTACATTAATAGCCTGCCAAATGCTGTTAAAGAGACCCGGATGATTTTGTATGCAGATGATGCTGTTCTATTTTGTGACGCAGCAACACGTCAAGAACTTCAAATTGCTCTTGAACGTGAATCCACTGAAATCAGTAACTGGTACACTGATAACAGGTTGACTATAAATGTCAAGAAGACAAAATTTATGCTGGTAGGCAGTAAAAGGATGCTATCCTTATTTGAAGACTTTGAGTTGCAACCAGATGGTACACATATCGATCGCGTGCAGTCATTCAAATATCTGGGGGTGAGAACAGATGCAAAATGGAGCTGGAAGCCACATATCAGCAATTTTCTAAAGAGATTAGGTCATCGTCTTTCTTTGTTTAATCGCATATTTCATATGTTAGACAATAGAACTCGCATAGCCTTCTACAATGGGCTAGTGCTGCCACACCTAGACTATGTCGACACAATGTGGGGAGATCAACCCGGTCTAAAATCAGAAATGGAAAAATTGCAAAGTTTTCAGAACAAATTTGCGAAGAAAATTAAATTAGGCAAGATGTCTTCTTCAGAAGCTCTGAAGTGTCTGAATTGGCTCCCTCTGGCTGGAAGACGTCTATTTCATCGTTGTACCACCGTAGAAAATGCAATCAAAGGAGACATTCCGCAACATTTTGAAAGTTTTAAATCGACATTGAGAAGTTCGCATGGCTACAACACTAGAAATGGCTACTTACCTAGACTGCCTAAACCTAAAACGGAATGCGGAAAGAGGGTGTCCTACTTCCGTTTTATAAATGACTGGATGTCCCTCCCAGTATTTTTAAGAAGGCCAATGCCATGCANACTAAGAATACAATTCCTATTAAAACACCATAGAAGATCTTGTTTCAGGTACAGTGTTAACAATGTACACGAAAGGCATGGAATCACACAAACAGAATTAGTATTAGAATTGATCAGAAGTCTCATCATATGAAACTGAACCTAAAAAATTGCCTTCACCTTCATTTTCTGACAATTTTATGCGTGCTTCGACAACACCTAAATTCTGACATCTTATAACAAAGAAGCTAAGTGTACTAATTTTTACTTATTATTACTTTTTTGAAACAACAGTTCTTAATCTTTTTTGTAATTAAAAGCCCATTGGGGCTGAATAACGTGTTTCTGAGTGCATGCACATAGCAACCAAGAACCACAATTCTGTAGTTTGCAATAAACACCTCAGATTCTAAAAGAAAATATGTTTTTTTTTACATCATTTTTAATAACCCTTTTTGCATCACCAAAAGTAATAAATAAGAAGTGTTGATTACATTGTCAGTTTTCTATTGTTATAATTTTACCTTTTTTTCTATAGTTTAACAGTACCTTGGCTTCTGGCAACCATGTTTTCTCAAAGCAGCTGAGGATTTCACATCCACAACTCACTAGACCTTAAGGACTTCAGCTTTGTGTGATAGACGTCTTCTGTTGGAGACCTCACCACATTGCAAAGCAAGGAAAGAACCTCCCCCCTTTGATGGTTTATGCCACTATCTGCTGATTTCCATCTTCTCAACATTGCTCACGATGGAAATCACAGATATAAGTTGTTGTATCTAGAGATAAAATAAAAAAAATGAGCTTTGTAGTTCGAGATTTTCTTATTACAGCTTTGATGGCAAACTGACACCACAGCTTCTTTGAGGTACAGAGGGAAGGGGGTCAAAATCATTCTTGCATTGTGCATGTGCATAATTCTATGTTTTAAAACTTTATTGCATAAACACTGTACAATCCTTCAAATGTAGACTCAATGTCTGTCATAAAGTACTGGGGTCTCCACTTGGGAATCCAGGCACGTAATATTTTCAGTGCTTCCACTATTGCAGCTGTTGTTTCTTTTTGGGTTATAAAATCCCCAACAACTGTATAGTTAACATTGGTTTTAGCAACAAGGAAGACAAATGGAAGCTTAAATGTCATGGTCTTGTATGTAGCATCCAGGAGCATGATTTCATTTCCATATCTGCTCATCAAATGCCTCTGCCAAGCTGTTTGATGAAAAAATAGGAGGTTTTGAGTGGTATGAGCTTCAACACTGCTATCTGTGTCATAGGTGTTGCCAGGCACAGCTTCCACAGGGGATAGGGTGTAAGGTCTAAAGAAAAAGAGATCCTCAGGATTCTCTTTTTTCCACCCCTTAATTTTCTCTTCAAGATTTTCCTCGTCAGCCTTGGATACCATCTGTTTTACAGTTGCCTTATACATGTGGTTCCTGATATCCACAGCCTTGGGATGATAGTGCCTGTTTGTGACTGGTGGGGGACTCTGACCAGCAAAAAGATCATTCCTGACATAGTGTCGCAAGTGCCTTTTCATTTCATCAACTGTTTTGACCCCTTCACTAACAAGGGCGTGGATTTTTTAACCAGGTTCTTGTCAATAGGTCATGCCACCAATCTATAGAAATAATAATATGTTATTATTGAAATTCGAAACAGTCCAAGTGTAACGATTTTTAAGTCCAAGCTTAAGACACATCTATTCAAGCTGGCTTACAGTTTGTTTTGATATTTTGTCGTTTATCATTTTAATATTTGTAGTTAATAATGTTGTAAAGCGCTTTAGAATATTTTATAATTTTAGCGCTTTAGAAATGTAAATTATTATTATTATTATTATTATTATCATTATAATCGTTATCATTATCGTTATCGTTATCATCGTCATTGTCATTATCATTATTATTACTTATTATTATTATTACTAAAAATTAAATGGTAGTTATTTTTCAAACTGGTCAATGAAGTGAAAACTTGGCTAACTTAAAACATTTTTCCCACTGTCTGCAGTTTGACTACTCATGGAAAAAAATATCTTCATGTTGACATCCCTCGTCTTTTTTGATTGGATTATACCTCTCCGATTACATGATCTTTGAGGTCGTTCTCCATGGGCTAGTTAATGTAGATTCTCCTTTCAAACTGTGGCCACATTTCCATTTTAAATATCACCTTTGAGTCTATCA